TATATAGATACATATACAGATATATATATATAGGAGTCCTGGTGTGGCGCTGTGGGCTAATGCGCCAAACTGCAAAGTCGTTTGAACTGCAAGGTCGTGGTTCAAGCTCACCAGCGGCTCCTTGGAAACCCTATACAGGGTCGCTATGGGTCGGAATTAACTCGACGGCGCTTAACAACAACAACAATATACACATATACATACATACTTTCTGTGAAACCGCAGACTATCTTATTTGCACATGTTACATTTAATTTTTCTTATGTGGAGCAAGATGAGGCTTTCTGCTCCCGTAAAGATTTACAGCCTCGGAAACCGTGTGCAGGGTCGCTATGAGTCGGAATCGACTCCACGGCACATAACAACAACAACAACAACAATAAATATATATATATACGTTCTCTTGTAATTCAATTTATATTATAAATACTTTATATTGTATATAAATATTATATTTAAATATGAATGTTATAGATTTATTCTCCAGGTTTTAAATTTGATGTAGTAGATTGAATTGAAAGGAAACATTTTAACATCTAATAAATTAATTTTCTCTTTTACTTGATTTGTGTTCAGTATTTTAAATGATATTGAAAGAATTTTTACAACCTACAAATTTAGGTTTCTTTTGTGATTCTCTTAGATGTAATAAAGGAACAGAATCGAGAGTTACGGGGTACACAGAGAGCTATAATCAGAGATCGAGCAGCTTTAGAGAAACAAGAAAAACAGCTGGTAAGTAGAACATTAAATTTCAGTTTAACTTTTCAGACAAATTTGGAAATTAGTGTTGTCATAATTAGCTAACTAGGAGAAGGCACATGACAGGTGGCAAGTGATTTACTTAACTAAGAAAAGGCATTTAAAACCTTTCTATATTTTTCTGCTTACCTTTTTTATTGTGTCATTTTGCTGACTTTTACAAGGATTCTGTGAATTTTTCTGATTATATGATCAAATTTTTCTTCAGTACGTAAAAGTCATAAATGCCAGAGCTACCTTCTTTCAGTTAACAGCACAGATAAAACATTCATGGAAAACAAAAGACGATTATAAGAAAATAATTATATTAATTTATAGATGACTTACTTGGTATTTTAAAGATCAGTGTATAACAATGAATATAGTGTGTTTTTTTGTAGTTAGTAGATTGGTTCTTTAAATTATTTTTAGGCTGTGTTTTTAAATGTATGCTACTTCAAAAATCTTGTTTTTGAAAACAATTTTGTTGCGGTATAATTGGAACACAAAATACATAAAATGAATCCATGTGATTTGATATATTTTGATATATATTTACTTTTTATACATACACACTCATGAAAATTTCACTACAATCAAGATCAGGGTTATGAATATTATCCACAAAAGCTTCCTTATGTTCTTTGTAACCCACATACCTGTCCCTTCTTGTCCCATATATTCCCAAGTCTGTCAGTGTAGATTAATTTGCATGTTATAGAATTTTATATAAATGTTAATTATATAGTATAAAGTTTGTTTGTTTTTAATATGGCTCTTTCACTCACCATAATTATTTTAAGATTAATCAAAATAGTCGTAATTTCATTCCATTTTGTAAATGATTGGTATTCCATTATGGGCTAAACCAGAATTTGTTTTTCCATTTAACAGCCGGTTGTATACAGGTTTTGACTGTTGTATAAAGTTGCTATGTACATTCAAGTGGAGTCTTTTTGTGCATATATGCTTTTAATTCTATTGGGTATATTTCTCTTCAAGTCTATTCCTACCCATAGCGGGATATTTAGTGGGATATTTAGATTGTGAGGTAAGTGTATGTATAAGAAGCTACCAAACAGTATTACAAAATGACTGTCACTTTTCTTAGCAGCATATGAAAGTCATAGTTGTTTCTCATTCTAGCCAATACTTGGAATTGACAGTTTTTTAGCCTGTCTAGCGGGTGGGTGGACTCCTGTTGTGATGCTATAGTAGGGTAAACACTGGACTGCTAACCACATGGTTGGTGGTTCAGACCCACCAACCACTCCTTAGAAACCATATACAGGATCACTATGACTCACAGCACTTAACAACAATGAGTGTGTAATGATAACTTATAATTATGGTTATGTATTATATTTACCTAATTACTGATGAGGAATCCTGATGTGGCACTGTAGGTTAATGCACCAGACCACAAAGATGTTTGAACTGCAAGGTTGGCAGTTCAAGCTCACTAGCTGCTCCTCGGATACACTGTACTGGGTCACCATGAGTCAGAACCGAATTGACGGGATGTAACAACAACAACAACAATTACTGATGGGGAAGCTCCATATGATAAACACTGGACTGAGGACCACAAGATCGGCAGTTTGAGCTTACCAGCCGCTCCTCAAAAGAAAAATGAAACCTTTTGCTTTTGCAAAGATCTAAAGCCTCAGAAATCCTATACAGGATCACTGAGTCTGAACTGACTCAACAGCCTGTAACAACACAACAATTACTGATGAGATTGAGCATCTTTTCTTATATCTGTTTGCCATGTGTGGTGCTGCAGGTTAATGCACTGGACTGCAAAGTCGGTTGAGTGCAAGGCCAGCAGTTGAAGCTCACTAGCTGCTCCTCAGAAAACCTATGTAGGATCTTTATGAGTTGGAACTGACTTGTTAGCACCTAACAGCAACAACAACATTTGCCATGAACATATCTTCTTTTTCAAAATGTTTATTTTATTGTTATTTGATTGTAAGATCTCTATAAATTCTAGATATTCTTGTTGTTAAGTGCTGTCACGTCGGTTCCAACCAATAGCAAACCTGTAGATTTACAAGGAGCAGCTGATGAGCTTGAACCATAGACCTTGTGGTTCAGACAAGTGCTTTATTAGTTATATGTTTTGCAAATGTTTTCTTCAAGTTCTTGGTCTTGCCTTTTCATTTTCATACTTTGACCAAATGCAATTTATTATTTTTTCTCTAATGGCTTGTGCTTTTACTGTTATGTGAGAAATTTTTGACTAGTCTTTTGTTGTTGTTGTTGTTGTTGCTAAGTTCTGTCAAGTTGGTTCCGATTCATAGCAACCCTGTATAGGGTTTCCAAGGAGCAGCTGGTGGGTTTGAACTGTGACCTTGTTGTTAGCAGTCCGATGTCGATCCTATGGTGCCACACAGGAGTTCTTGACTAAGCTACAGCTACTTGTGTTTTTTTTCTCTCTCTATTTTTTGTAGAGGCTTTTTAGTTTAGTTTTACATTTTGGACCATAATCTATATTGAATTAGGTTCTAGGAGTCAGGTAAGGGTTGAAGGTCACTTCTTACATATGAAGATGCATGTTACCCACATTATTTATTTCTGATTAGCCTATTCTTATTATGATAAGGTTTCCTCATTATAGATGATCAGTTACCCGAATGCATGTGGGGCTGTTAACTGTGCTCTGTTTTATTATATTCATTTCCACGATAATTCTTAAGCCCATATCATCATACTTTATTGTTACAACAGAAAATATCGAAGCTGACAAGGATTTCATTTTACTTGAATACTCTTCAACAAGGAGCTCTAGTAGCATAGTGGTTAGGAGTCGGGCTGCTCATCTTATGATTAGCAGTTCAAAACTACCAGCCATTCCATGGGAGAAAAATGAGGCTTTCTGTTCCCATACATTTCTATAGCCTCAGAAACCGTACAGGATTTCTGTGAGTCGGAACTGACTTCATAGCACATAACCACCACGACCACCACCTCATTCAACACCCATAGAAACAGCAGTCTAGAAAGCAAATGAAGTCTTGCATTAGGTAAATGTGCTAAAAAGACTGTTTTAAAGTGTTAAAAAGCAAAGATGTCACTTTGAAGGCTACAATGAGCCTTATCCAAACCATGATATTTTTAATCACCTAATATTCACTGCAAAGTTGGTTAGAACTGCAAGGTCGATGGTTCAAGGTCACCAGCTGCTTCTGGGAAACCCGATACAGTGTTGCTGTGGGTCAGAACCAGCTCAGCAGCACTTAACAACAACAATAATATTCACTGCAGTGGCCGCATAGAACTCAGACACCATAATGACAGTTACAGTTTACAGGTTACAATGCAGGATCAGAAAATGCTCAGGACACAGTTCATTCAGTCAGGACAGCCTGTCCTTACTGTTGCCCACAGGCATGTCTCTCTCTGCTTGGGCAATGTTGTAAAACTCTTTTTAGACTACTGATAAATACTCACGGGGCATACCACTATAAGCCTCAGCCTGAAGGCACTTGGCTCTAGCTCCTTGGCTCAGCAAACATAGCTCCCCTAATTCAGTTCTTGGAGGCACCCTACTCTGTCAAGCAAGCCTCCTGCCCATAGTCACTCAGCTTTACTTGCTTAGGGACTAGGAAGTCCACTATTCTGTCTCATGCTCTGACTCTCGGTTCTGCTGCTGTTGTGCCTCTGCTACTCCTCTGGTGTCATACCTTTATGTCCCTGGGTAGAGGAGGTTCATTGTGCAAGGTTCTCAAGGTCCAAAGGACATACTTTGCTCCTGACTTCCCTTCTCTGATGTTCCCCCTCCTGCTTCTGAGATGGCTTTTTTATATACGTTAGATATCCAAATTTTACAGTCACAATTAACCTTTTTAATCACTCACAAGTAAATCATATAATCCAATCCAAATCTTCTCCCATCTTCTCTTACCAGAATCCATCAGGGCAAAGATTTGTTTAGTGGGGGTTAATAAAAACTAAGACTAGAAGAGACATACTGATTTTCTTAAGTTAAACCAATCTTTTGCTACTGGGATAGCCCCACTTGGTCATGATGTCTTTTAAAAAATACATCTGTGTATTTACTTTACTAAAATTAGATATGTACATGTATATATATACACACACACACATATATATATATACATATCTATGTTTATGTGGGACATTGAGCTTATATTTATTTATTTATATTACCTTTTATTAACTTTGGTATCAATGTAATATTGGCCTCATAGTATATATGTGAATGTACATCCCTGCCCTCCATTTTTATTTTTCTTTGCTTTTTAAAACTGAGAGCGTTTGTGCTAAATTGCCAACTTTTTTTTCCTTAAATGCTTCAAAGGATTTGTCAGTGATTTTACATAGGACTGGAGTTTTCTTTGTGAATAAGTTTTAAATTACACATTAAAAAAAATAAATATAAGATGATGAATCTGTTTTCTTGAATAAGCTTTAATTTGTGTTTGTCCAGTGTTTTGTCCATTTTGACTAAGTATAAAAATTTGCTTGCATTTGACCAAGCCCCAGAAATTTGATTTTGCCATTCCAGATTGATACGATGGATTCCAGAGAAATGGATACAAGGGTAGGATCCTAAGAACAAATCTGAACAAAGAGAAAGTTAATGGCACAGCAGCGCCATGAACATGCAAAGGTTTTGGCTGACATCAGTCTCGAACCAGTCACCAAGGTTATTGGAAGTCTGTTTGAGATAGAGCCAACTCCAACTGAAAAATTTTTGCTGCAATGAAGTCCTGATATGGCACTGTCGGTTAATGCACCAGACTGTGAAGCCGTTTGAACTGCAAGGTCAGTGGTTCAATTTTACCAGCTGCTCTTTGGAAACCCTATACAGGGGCACTAAGGGTCAGAATTGACTCGATGGCACTTAACAACAACAACAACAATGTGTACCTATGCCCATTTGCTAAATGGCTGCTGGGATCCAGTGGGGAAGCAGGCACAAAGCAAGGAATTTACAATAACTGAAAAGTATTGAAAAGAAGTTG